TTAATACAATAGCCTTAGAATGTTAAGCGCAAAATAATATGTTGGAGACCACTTTCATTTGTTTGAGTTCCTCACGTCATACGGGTCGTGGAGGGCTAATTTGACCATACTTCCCCATGCTGGCAGTGCGGATTGGTGAAGGTGGGTAGCATAGTACAGTACAATAATGCATTTTGCTGCACTGAACTCTGCTGATGAAATGTTAGCCCAACACTTTTATGACTTGTTTTGAATAATTAATTATATTTAAGGAGTCAAAAATATAAAAGAAGCTCATTTTTTAGGCCAACGGGCCCTTCTTCCGGAGCTCATGGAGACAAAGTGCAATCACGACTGACTCACTGTTGTGCCTTAAAATGCACTACGCTAATATTTAAACACAATGCAGATTCAGCTTGCAATTTTGGTTTAAAATGTAATCTGTGAAACATGTGCGTTGTCATTATTTAAAAATGTGTTACGGTAACATCTATCAATCATGTAACCAATTCATAGCCCCCCAACAATTCTATGAATCGCAACAATTAAATAATCGCAATTTTTTCTCGTTTGTATTTTCGCTCTCATTTTCACAGTTTGGTCGCTCCCTTAGCCTGAAAGCAATAGTAGCACCTCCATTTACATATAATTGGCTTTAATTGTAAATAAAACAAAAATGAGCACACATATACTTTTAAACATGTTGGGTAGAGCAGTGGTGCACTGTACTACGAAGCTTGTGTTGGTTTCCAGGCCACGGATAATATCATTAGCAAGCGATATCTGAACCAGTGCTCGGTCACAGCCTTTACCACCTATACTGACCAGCATGGCGAAGTATGGTCAAACAGGTCCCATGACCAATTCGGCATGGAATGGCCTTCATCCAGCAGTGGATTGATAAAAGGCTGAAACAAAAGAAAGACAGGTGGCTGAGCGGGGAGCCTAGGAGTCTGTGTGCTTGCTGCCGAGACTGTTTGCACATCTGATAGTTCAATTTACCACACAGCCTGCAATTGAAGTTTGTGCTGCATCATCATGAACACGACCAAGGTTCGTCACTCTTGTAAAGTGGATGTTAAAGCTGGGCAAGTAACGACGCATAGATTTCAAATTCGATTACTACGCTCGCTTAGCGGGCATCAAATTGCGCGCGCGAGTATTTGTGCATTTATTTGACCCAACATAAAGGACATACGCATGTTCATCCTGGAAGGACATGTCCATTGTTATCTGACAGATCGATTTTTACTGTCAACTTTTAGTAAAAAAAAAATGTCACGTCTTCAAAATAAATGTATGAACTGGAAACCCGATTTTAAGTGTTCCTCTTTTCATTATAACCGCACCCTGAATCGCTACGACAGATTCGCAGGGCTGCATGCGCTTGTGACCATTCGTTTCGAGATCCCCACTCGCTTTCATCACGTTTGAGCATGTCGTCGGCAGTAAGCAGTGGAGCGTCTTGAATCATCGGTTAAATGTTAACTGAATGGTGAGAATAACGCGCGTGCTGTAGTGATTTACATTATTTTCGCTCTTTCCCATCTTTGAGTTGAGTATTATTTGCGTCCGAGTGTCGTCCAGTGTTTGTTCAGCCGTTTTACTGCAGGGCTTTCTCTTTGTAGTCGACAAAACCTGATGGATTGAGTTTATATATATTTTTTACAATTTCATTATTTTCTTGTCCCCACTCAGGATATATTAGGGGTGTTGTAAAAGTCTGTGGTCTGACCCAGAGAACAATGAGTGGAGTGACCTTGATGAAGCTGGGTTATGTCTGTACATAGTCTCCTTGAAGTGCAGTCTACTTGGTCAGTCATCATCGCTGATGTCCAAAGTTTTCACCCAGAATAACTCTTTGTATTGCTCGTCAAACCACTCAGTCCACGTTGCTTCATTTTCATGAGAAATTCGCCTTTCTTGGGAGCCATTCTTTAAAGAAATGACCCTCGTTTTTAGCCCCTTTTGTCGATGCCCTGCTGGAGGATGGTGTCTTCTATACCGTGTAGATCATGTTTTCAATACCTACCTAATGTATGCATCCTGAGCTGTACGACACAGGTTTAATGTCTTGTTTGCTATAATCCTGAAAAAAAGTCCTAGGACTCGGTGTGCATTCCTGCGTAAGTAATTGATATTATAATACTGTACGTTGGAAAACAATGGAAATTACTCAAAAGCACTCCAGAGAGACATCAATGCAGGAATATATAAAATTAGCAAAAGCGTGATGCTGCATTGACATTTACACCACAACCCTTAACCCCACCACCGGTGACGTCACTGTCATCGGTTACCCCACTGCCGCCACTTAGCGTCAACCCAACTCTCATCGGTTATAAATTACTCGCTTCGCTGACGGCTTTGGCGCCGTCTAGCTACCATGAGCATAGCTGTAATCTATCCGCCTTGGTTGATCTATGAATCTTGAATGACCTGCAATTCCCATCCTGTCTCCTTGCCTTGTCCAAACACTAACTGTTGCTGCTGCTCTGGTATTTGCCCAATGCCAATTGCTTTGCGACTTGTAGATGGTGGATGGCGGTGGACTCTGAGCTGTTAATTTGGTCCCATAAAAGTGTTTGCCCACTCTCCATGTCAGGCCACGCCTGCTGCAAAAAAAAAACTTGCAATTAATAAAGGGGATTTTGTTTTATTTAATTCAAAAGAGAACCATCAGAGAATAACCCACTTGTGAAGTAGCTTTTGCTACATTCGGGACAATCATGTTTGTTCTTTTCAAGAATGTTGTTGATGACAATGGGACAATGTCGTAATTTTTTTATTAATTGGCCATGGTCTTTAACATCTACTGAACAACACCAACTTGATGCCTCTGACAGCATGTCCCATTGTGAAAGAAGTGTCCTTGAACTGTGTGAGAGTTCATTGCCAATGCCTTACCTTTTTATGTCGGGTTTCTGAGTGAATACAGCTGTGTATAGACACTTATTAACACCTGGCGGTTTACTTACATGCTGATTTGAGCAATTGCATCACGCTTGTTTGGGTTGCAGTGTCATGTCGTCCGTAACTTCTCCCCGGGTTCAACGACAGGCGTAATAACCTCGAACTGAAATTACGTGTTTAGCTTTGGTTGGGATCAGGTCATCGGTCGGCCGTTTATGCACGGGCATATTGACTCGGAGGCAAGAATGCTGACTGCTAGGGTACACAGCTGCCTGAGATGTGGGGAGGGAGTCTCCCAGAAAATCTTGATGACCCGTAGCATTTCAGAATCCAAGACAGTTGGGATTTTTTTTGTTGAGTATTGGCAGCTTCAGGGGATGTAAATTGTATATTATTAAATAAATTATTGAGTGTGACCATCCGTGTGGAGGTGATGTAATGAGAGGTTGAATGTGAGGTGTAAATATTTTTAATTTAAGCGAGCATGGGAATCCTGAATTGATACAGTAGACTCGATTTTCCGCACAAATAACGGGGAGGACAGCCGTGGATAATTAAAAATCGCGGATAATCAAAAAAATGAATTTCTGTGGATCTCTATGCCAAAAACCACAAATATAGGTTGAAATTATGTTTAGGTGAAGAAAATTTAATTTCTGATTTAAAGTTAAAACAACACTTCCGTTTCCTCTGCCTTCGCACAGTTTAGTAAATTAAAACTCGCAAAATAAATGATCGGATAAGTCACTCAAAATGAAGCACAACTGATAATTTGTATCATTCCTCTTTCGATTCAGAACAAATACTAACGATCACTGATCGAAGCTTGTGCCGTGTGATCATACTTTCCTGCTCCCGTGCAGAAGACTGCCCATTAAGTGGACAGCAGAGCCACGCCAATCAAAATCAATCAAACACCCCTGCTGTTGTAAAGATATGCAACGACTGTACTGTAGAAGCGATCATGTGGATTTTCGATTAACCTGAGCACATCTTTGTTCAGTTTAAGCAACGTGACTAGTGGTAAACATTTCCAAGAATAACAAAGTATAACTGTTTTTAGGCTATTAATTTGGGCTTAAGGGACAATCCATCAGTTATTAATTAATGTCAAAATCTCAGGTACGCAGTTAATCCGCAAATCGGATAAACCACACCTCGGATAATTGAGTCAACTTTATATATGGTTATTGTCAACATTTTTTCAGAGGCCCCACATTCAACTACCACCTTGCCAATATACCTTGTAGTGAATGTGCAACCTCTTTGGCTGCAGAGTTGATATTAACAATATTTATTATGACCAACGCAAATTATAATAAGGTGTAAAAGCTGTAATTAATGAAGTTACCACTTGTGTGTTGTAAATCTGGTTCATAGTTTTGGTCGTGTAGGTTATCTGGCTTGGCAGAAAGATCAAGTCATGCGTCTAAGTTTTTGGATTTTGATTTAAAGCTTTGGTGACTGCAGGGATTCATATTCTTGGTTCTTTCGGTAAAGTCACGTAGAAGGGAAACAATAAAATAAAAAATATTGTTTTATATTTTTATTATTGTTTCCCTTCTACGTGACTTTACGGAAAGAACCAAGAATATATAAGTTTTTGGAGTTAATTTCGGCCTATCAACCCCCTAATCTTTGTCATCATTAGCTATGAACATTCCACTGCTGGATAAATGCCTCTCCAAGCCTTTGATTTACGTCATTGTCCTGCTACGTATAAAATCACGCCTCCCTGGGGTGCATAAAATAAGTACCGCTTGCAGCTGTTTTGCGAAGATGTGTGTGTGTCTATATATCAGGGAGCGGTAGTGTAGCGGTTAGCGTGCTGCGCTCCGAACCCGGGGACCAGAGTTCGATTCCTATTCACGGCCAACACCATCAGAACTGGTTCTTGGCCTTCTCTAGGTTGATGCAACCTCAAAGGAATACGTGGTGTGGTGTGTAAACAGTGCCACTGGGGAAACAAAGGCGGCAGGGTGTGGTGCTATGCCGTGCCGACCTTCATAGGTGCTCGCGAACAGCACTTGCTCCGACAGTCTTAAGGCTATAGGGGGATCTATATGTCTTGTATATATCTCTTGCTTACCCTGGCTTATCTCTGTCAGGTTTATTTTGGACCGCGCGGAGAGCGAGACGGAGACGGTGGGACCCGCACCAACGCTGGAGGAGTTGGGGGGGTCGCCCGCCGAGCAGGAGGACAAGGGCGTAATCGAGGTGGCCAACTGCCTGCGCCTCATCGGGGACGAGCTCGACAGAGACCAGAAACTGCAGGAGTCAGTGTCCCCGCACACACGCACGCTTCGATGCACACGCTTGCTCGCTCATTCACAAGCGCTCGCTCGTACGCTTGTACGTGCGCGCTCGGCACGCATGCGTACGACGTTCATGCTAGCGCGCACACCATGTAATGCGCACACGTACACGCAATGCAACAATCGGACACAATGAAAATGATCGCGCGCACACACACGTGTACACATGGAGGTCAGGCAAAAAGACGGCGATCCCCGAATCTCTTGAAAGACTGCTGCAGATAGTGTTATTAGTGAGCACATTTGAAGGATGGCACGGGGCACGAGAGAGGGTGGTGTGACAAGCACTACTTCCGACCACCTTTATCTCCCAAGTGCTGATGTTTACACACCATACCAAGTACTGATTTGAAGTTCAGTCTACCGAGGGGGGGCCCCGGACTGGTTCAGATATTTGCCACAGATATAAGCTATGGCCACTAATCGTGGATAGCATACGGTTTGTCCATAGCACCGTTATGCTAACCACTACGCCACCACTCCATTCCGTAAAACACACCACACACTCGCTCACATTTTCTAAAATACCAAATCGCCTGGATCTTCAAGAGTCGACATTCGTAGAAAAACTGGTATAGAACAGCCTTCCCTGTCGGGACCCTTCCCATGGAAACACCATGGAGGATGCTGGTGGGTGAATGGGTGCCAGGACTGCAGTCTGGTTTTGTGGCAAGAGGAGGAAATGGGCTCACGGGCACGGTGCCCAGATGTACGTGCGTCCAGGAAGCCGTTCTGAGCGAGATGGCCAGGTAGCTCTGTGGGTTAATACCGTGTCAGGTGCATTGACAGTGAGTGATTGATGAGTGAGATATTGGATCCGAATCCGGGTTTCAGCCGCCCATAGTTACACACCGGGTTCTGAAGTGGAGTGAGTTGGTAGTCTCAGCATGATCATCAATAAAAGAAATATCGAATTAAATTTTGTTGTGCATTTAAATTTGGCTACATTGTTGTTGATGGTCTCAGCCCAGTTATCACTGGCTGCACAAAAAAAAAGTTTAGCAAAGTTTGGCTTTTTGGAAATTTGGCTTCAGAAAAACCTCCCCATTAAACTTAAATTTGGAGTTTCACTTATTTCATGCTTTGTGACATAGGAATGGTATGCCCCCTCATTAAGGGACTCGGAATGTTACAATTAAGTGTCATGATTTTAAGTATGAATTCAAGAGTCAATTGTAAAACATTGTGGTGAATGTAGCATTGGTAGATCCTTGGTGTGAACCGAGTACATGCAACATACACAAAAGAAAGATGAATCGGATGCACGCATCCTGAGCGTTAGGATCTATTTTTATCGACGAATGAATGCGACGCTGCGAGCCTCTCTGTGATGTCATCTCCCGGGGCCATTCTCATAACAGATGGTGGTACACTGCTACCTGTGTTGCTTTGGAAAGGAGATGTATTTGTGTCGTAACAACAGAACTCTGTTAGCACAATTGCGATATGTTGTTGTTCAGCCCTTAATCAACTGCTGGATGAAGGCCTCGCCACGCCGTGTTGGTTATGGGAGGCTTGTCGGACCAAACTTCAACATGCTGTGGTCAGCCCAGCTTGGTGAAGGGAGGGTAGGCCCATAACTGCGTCAAATTATCACTCGCCACTGATATTTGCCGAGGCCCGTTCGTCAATAAAACTCGGGTTGCTTGTTTTACAGCACAAGGCGCTAGCTCCTGCGTAACCAGCCTCATTTGAATATAATTGTGGAGGGGGGGGGGGAACTTTTTGAAGTGCATTCAAGGGAAGGGTAAGGAGGGGTTTTGGAAGGCAGAGAGCAGGAGATTGTGTCTGGCACTTGTTTATGGATGCCGGAGGCATCTCTCCGAGCTGGAGGGAGCATGCGTTTCGATAGGACCAGAACCGGTTTGGCCAGGTGCTGTGCTGTGTAATGGAATAGCTGTGTACAAAGACAAAGATCTCCCGATAGTTATACAAGCTGTCTGGGCAAGTGTTGCTGTTTGCAAACGCATTATTGAAGGCTGGCACAACACACTATGGAGTAGTGTGGCGGCCAGAACTGCAATCGGCCGACTTTGTCTCCCCAGCGCTAATGGTTACATGCCGCGCAAGGTACTCCGTTAAGGCTGGGTCTTCCTAGGCGAGGCGCAGAATCAGTTCAGGTAACCTCCACTGATGTTAGCCATGGTCGGGGAACAAAGTCGTGTTGCTGAATTTGTAGTGCAGTGCGCTAACCACGACACTACCGATCCACTCAAGTCTTAATCACACAAGACAAAGATTTAACACTCTTGGGACAAGTGCTGTTAGCGACCATCGATGAAGGCCAGAAGTGGGTGAGTCGCCTGCTCCATACACGACCGCCTTTGCCTCTAAAGTTGTAATGTTTTCACATTGCACAAGGTACTCCTTTAACGCGGAGTCAACCTAAGGGAGGCCTCCGGACCAATCTAGATTTTCATCACCGAAGTTGGCTGTGAGCGGAAATTGAACTCGTGTCTCGGGGTTCGAAGCGGAGTGTGCCAATTGTTACGTTACTACTCCCGACTTGCACCCGCACATTCATACACGTGTGCGCATGAGCCACCGAGGTGGAAAATATTACCGCTTGCAATTACAAAACAAAATAATAATAAAGCGGCTGAAACAAACCCCGTGATGCCGTGTTGATGAAACTGAGCTGCTGTGTAGGAACACGCGTGACTCATCTCTCATTTTTTGTTGTTGCTGAATTTATTTAACCCAATTAAGCTAAACTTACAAAAAACTATTAAAACATTAATCTTTTTTAATTTTACCAGATAAGGCCCACTGAGGTATTATATAGCTCTTTTTCAGAAGCAACCTGGCCACAAATGATAGCTTACCAAAGTCGCGTATCATGTGGAAATTTATAGCAGCCAAGTACTCCAAATACATGTTTCTAAATGTGGAGGGAAAACCTGGAGGACCTGGAGAAGAATCCACGCCACTACGGGTTGAGAGACATGCAAACTCCATATATACAGGCGTCAGGGTCGGGATCAAACTCATGACCTCTTGTATACCAGGCTAGGTAGTTAACATCTCGCCACCACGGCGCCCAGATCTCAGGACACCCACTTTGGTGTTTGCATGTTCAGCCACTGTGCATAAATGAGGTGTTCTAGGCAGCTGTTGGGCTATATTGTCCGCAAGGTGCATTGCGGCAAAATCTATTGTTGTACTGTACTTACCGACCCACCTCCAACCCACCCTGACCATCATGGTGAAGTATGGTAAAATAACCCCGATGATGCTCACGGCGGAGTGAGGCCCCACTTATCCAGCAGTGGATTGACAAAAGGGCTGTCCATGGCCGTATCCCAGTTGTACTGTTGGCCTCATTTGAAGTGGTAAAGAACTTTTCCATTAGGAACTCGTCGAGTGAGCAGTGCATCGCCTTTTCAGAGGAGGGTCCCGTGGATGCCGATGTCACAACTAATTTTCGAATGTCCATTTATCGCTTCAATAGATCTGTTATCCACACTTTGCACACACTTTGTGTAGTCCCTGAAAAGAGTGTTGGTCGCATTCAATTAAAGCAACATTTAACTATGAATATGATACATTGAGTTAAGGTGTGACAAGGTGTCCTTCCCCCCCGGCCCTGGCGATTTGATTATGTCGTGATTGTGACGAGACTCAAGAATTTGCTTGGGGGAGGGGGGGGGGGAACGTCGCAGCCTCCAATGACCAGAGCGTGAGCCTCTTGAACCCATTGCATGCAACATATATGAATTTAGAAACATGTATTCTTACACAAGTGATTGCTTTAAGCATCGATATTCATGAACTCATCATTGCACCTCACTAATAAGGTGCCAAACCAAGATTAATCCGATGGGTTTTTTATGCAGTCATAAATAAATTCGGACTGACACCATACTCTTTGGTTCTTTCGGTAAAGTCACGTAGATAAAAATATAATAGATCACGACATTTCGATCGCAACACAAGCAGTCGTCATCAGGTGAGACAAACACAGCAGGATAACTGCTGAGGCTCATTATTTTTCTATCTACGTGACTACCGAAAGAACCAAAGAGTATGGATTCCTGCAGTCACAAAAGCTTCAAATCAAGATTGGGACTGACACCATCAAAAACTCTCTATGCTTGAGAGAGCCCTGTTTAGTCACAGGTGGCTAAACTTGGATTTGAACCCAGGCTCATCATTGGTGTCGACTCAGTGTTTTGGCATGAAATCCTCCCCCGGGGCAACCCGGGACCTCAGCCGTGACTCATGCCAAGGAACACACACCGCGCATAGCCATTTGCTGGCTGCATTTCAAAGCTCCCTCTTCTGCTTTGTGAAGAACTTGTGTTGTAAGTTATGTGGTGTGTATGTGTGTGTTTTTTTAAAGCTTATCTTCACTCACAATTGTTCATAAATTCATTTCTCATGCCTTACTTTCACGAGGTCAAAAGTAAATCATAAATCTTTGCAAGATTTGAAAAGATACAAACTGACCCACTGACCAGCGTGGTGGGGTCTGGTCAAACGGCCCCACGTGAACGGCACAGCGGGGGAGGTCTTTGTGCGGCAGTGGTTTTGAAACGGGCTGTAATTGCAATAATTGTTACTCGTTTTATAAAGCGTCTACCACGTGGGGAAAACCTATTCTCATATTTTGGTACTGGCAAAGGAGGTTCCATGATGTAGATGCTCATCCCGAGCCTTCATTACTCTGATAATTATTCTTTGGTTATTTCGGTAAAAACACGTAGAAAATAAAATCAAATAATACAATACGACGTTTCGGCTGCAACACAAGCAACCATCAACAGGTAAGAATGAATGATAAAACGCAGACACGGAAACAACAGGCAGACATGCAGAAAAAGACACACAAAGACACCGAGCGAGACACCAAGAAAACAAAGACACAGAAACAACATAGGCAAACGACATGCAGAGAGAGACGCACACAAAGATACACCAAGCGCCTTTTGGCGTCCTCTGGTCTAACACCGTTTTGAGAC